CCCAAAACCCCAAAACCCCAAAACCCCAAAACCCCAGCTATTAAAATTATAATTGAATTTACAAAAGACATGGATAAAGGAATTGCAAATATGAAGAATCAGATTCGGATATTGAAAAAGCATCGATCTGGCAGTAAGTTTCCTCCAGTTATTTGCTCATTAATTTACTAGAGGAATATGCTATTTAGACTTGATCTGATCCAGTTTATATAGAACTTGCTACAAAGGCGCCCTCTCCTACACCGAGTTTTAACTTGTCTAAATAAACAGAAATTGAAGGCTATTCCTTCCAAAAGGTTATAATTCAGGTTTTAGTGAGAACTCCTAAACATGAAGAACTGAGGTAGATTATTCATCAACACCTATGATTCCGTAGTATTCCTTTGGAGGAGAAATTTTGATACCTATGTCTCAAATACCAACGATCTTGGCTAGAGGGTCTTTACTTTGTTTAGGGGTTCTATACCTCAATAACATACTTGGCTTCCCATAAATTTTTACAAAAGTGTTCTATAACATTTGCTAAATATTCAGAATCTCACCTTATAATGCTACAGGCCACAAACCAAAACAAGCTTTTACTCTCAATGGAAGGAAAAAGTCTGAAATGCTAAAGAGGAAATACCAGTCCAGGAAGAACCAAGCAGGAAAGTCTCCAGAGGACTAGCTCTAGGACAGTCCTGGGCTAAGTCTACATCTAGCTTGGTGAGTGCCTTAAGTTTATTTGTGATCTTAAGATTGGGTTTCTGGGATAGTAAGCAAGAGCAAATAAACTTACAAAACTAATAGTGTCCAAAAGTGCCAACATCAAGCCCCAAAGTAAGCTGATTTAAGACTATATTTGGGAGGTCAAGACCACTTAGAATAACTGGAATCCTATCTTGTAGTTACAGCCAGACTGCTTTTTGTTTCTGAAGCTCGGAACTGCTTAAGAACAGGTTTTGGTGATCTGAAACTGATAGAAATTGATAGATATAATCCGGGATATAATTCTAACAGCTTTTTAGTATTAGTTATCATATCCATGGCTCAAACCTACTTTTACACATTATCAGCTATTTTTACTTCCAAACTCAAATAATTTCTATAGAAAAAGAGATTCAAAAATCAGCTAGTAATGTCAAGTTTGAAGAAAAATTCAATGAAAAAGTCAAAAATGTTCAAATCAAAGAAGTAATATCTTACTAACAAGTTCGTAGGCTGACTTTGAGTCATAATATAAACAAGAGGTAATTCCTGGCCACAACTCCATTGTTGGGATCTATAAACTTTCTAAAAGCTTAGAGACTGACTAAATATGTTTAGGAGATCAGTTGAACCCCAGGATATCCTGTTCCTTAACAACTCTCAAAAAGTCCAACTGTAAGCTTCTGCACTGACTTATAGATATAATCAGAGTTCTCAATCAAATTTGAGGTACACAAGGAAGATATGCAATAGTGCATGTGATACTCGGTATCATCTCAGGTCTAGTACTCCAGATGGGATCTGTAATAAAAGTTTAAGCCAAACCATCAGCAAGTACATGAATAAGCAAAATATCACTAATCCTACCGAGTGAGCAACTCCTGCGAATCAGAATCATCAAGAGGTTAGCGTAGGGACGATAGATCCTTGCTGGAAATGTAAGCAGAAAAGTAAGCTCTGAACTTGCCAGGTAGCTCTCTCTGTACCTTCTTGGCTCCTCAAGAAGTTGGAAACCCCAAAAGATGAAGGCAAGGCTACGAAAATAAGTTCAGAAATATACTCCATTGGCCTAAAGCTCTTAAAAGAGCATACGAATGAGAATGGTGTCAAGTTCTTACAAAAGATTGAAGAGAGTTTGGATTCTAAGATTTCAGAGTACAGCACCAAACTCTCCTCTTGAGCCTCTTCTAACTCCTTACTCCAGTCAAAAGTTGATTCCCTTACTAAATCTCTATCAGATCTCACTGCTCAATTTGACCAGTCAAAACAAGAGGCTCAATGCCTGAAAGACCAGCTTAGGCTAAGTGCTCAGGACTTGAGCCAAGCAATGAAGGACTTTGAACAAGTCAATGAGGCTCTTAAGGCTACTATGAGCAAGCTTAAATAAGTCACAGAATTATGAGAAACGCCTAATGTACTTGATCTTCCTGGCCTGAGAGGAAGGATATCCAGTTGATAAGTTATATGAAGCTAATGTGGGGAAACTTTCTTCGAGGATCTTTGAAGACATGTCCTCAAGAGTTGAGAAGGATGAAGTAACTAGTATGTTCAAGAATTGTCCGATAAGTCACATTTTGCCATCAGAAAGAGAGGTTAACCTGATCTCAGATTCGTATTGAGGTAGCTCACAGATCTTTGACTCTAAGGCTAGTTATGAGCCTATAAAGTACTATTCCGTACAGAAAATTAGCAAGAAGCCTTCTCAGGTGGCTCTTCTTGATTTTGCCAAACTTCAAGAAAGCTCTTCAATATCAAATAGAAGTGCATCTTTTCTGGATTTTAAGGAAGAAATCATAATTGACAAGCTACTAAGATTCCGGAAGTGTAGATCCCATGACGATATCTTCCTGTCTCTTTGAAGTGAGACGGAGCGAACTTAAGATTTTTCTAGTTCAATAAATTCTTACAAAATAGGGGTTTTGGGGTTTTGGGGTTTTGGGGTTTTGGGG